GGGCAAACATGATAAAGATAGAATGACGGTTATTTCGCAAATATTTGAACAAATACCTTTCTTAAACGGCCCTTAGCGGTATATGTGTGTTTGTCATGATGGATTGTTGTCAAAAATGAGGACGTGGTCTTTTAAAGATGTGTCTGCGAGAAAATTTCCGTCGAAGACATTTTCCGTCTAAACCACATTTCCGGATTATATCTTATTTTCTATAACGCATGTGATAATACTGCATATATAAAATTATTCCCGATCCGGAAAACAACTCACCTAGGTCAGTTTTATATATTTCTATCAAATAGTACATTAATATAGGGTGTACAATATATATAACTATGATTCAATATGGCATTGTATTTCCAGTAAAACTTTCCGACAATATTTTGTCTATTCGTTTTGAAGATTGATATCTATTCTTGAAATTCGTTGTAAAGAATGGATGACCAGATTGCAGGATTCAAACCGCACTTTCATTCCAACACCTGCCGTGACGCGCTTATATATAGCCCCCTCAATAAATATGTTCGTCGGAGTGTAAAAACAAAATTGTCAATATTAATATTTACACATATGCGTGGTGTTTTGCGTAATGTTACTGTACTCGGGTCGATACTAAGCATTACAGTGAACAGGAATTTCAAAGAGATCTCCGTTTGGGATATATCTGATTTTTTTTATCAGACATCGGAACGATGACAAGCCTGCATCAACTTGAAAATATTCGTTCATAATTCAACCATTTGCTTTGTAGGTCTACAAACTTCAAAACTAATCAACAAAAATCGGTATGCAAAGCTTAATTATAAATTCAACGCCCTACAACATCACTGTTATATTAACAAACTCTACGGTAATGGTATCTTCGTTAGAAAATCATATAAAATTGAACTCGATGAGTCAAACAGTCGTCATTCATTTGAGACGAGCCAGGAATCAGGCCTCTCAGCAACAGGGTCTGGTGCTGTGAGTCAATGCAATGGTAAAATATTCCTGGTAATCGATATATAAGCAAGTCCCTCCGTTCTGTCATAAATATTTTATGCACTGTTTTGTTGTTTTGCAAGTAAATGTGACGGAACAGCCTGAAATAAACACGAAATAGACAAAGGTTGTTGGAATGCCAAGCTGGTTGCGGTTAGCGGCGGAGCGACAATAGTTTCCAACAGTGGGTATTGTCGTCGCTCCATCGGTCGCCTTATCCGTAATCTCGTCACCGGCTTTGTAGAGCGGCTACACTGACCAGGGCACCGTGCACGTGCTGTCCAGTAGCTAAGGACAAACGCTGGACATCAATACGATGAAGTCATCACGGACCTTTATATCAAATATCGATTGGCATTTTATACTATTGTGTCATTTGATATTGTCATCATTTATTCATGATGCTTCTTCTTGACAAAATGGCAATTAATTAATTATTTGTTTGTTTAAGTAATTGACTCTATTTGTCATTTAGATGCACGTTTGAGAGAACATATTGATCTGGTATATGCTATTCAGCACTCGTCTGCTTGATATAATGTAAAACGCGCTGTTTAAAACAATTTTAAGCCTCAAACATATTTTTGAAATTCCCTTTCCAAGAGTGCGTTGATCAAAGTCAGGTCGGTGGTACACATGTATATCTTTAAACATCCGGACTAACGAGGTTCCATAGAGTCTCTCTATTTCGTATCTCTGATTTAGTCCGGACAAACGAGGTTCCATAGTATCTCTCTATTTCGTATCTCTGATCTAGTCCGGACTAACGAGGTTCCGTAGTATTTCTCCATCTCATATCTCTGATTTAGTCCGGACTAACAAGGTTCCGTGATATCTGCCTATTATCTGTCTCGTCAATATAACATAGGCAAATGGCAAACAGGGCCTTATTTATTGCTTACCTGAATATTTAAGCAATCATGGCAAAACATTCCAAAACAATACATAAGTGCAAATATTTTTCCACGTTTTTGTTTATGTCTCTCAGCCTTCCGTGGGCAACATCTTTCTTTATATAACATTGATTTCCTGGTTCCAAGGATGCTTACAGTTTATTCTGTTGACAAACTGTTCAAGAGAAGTAAGATTTCACAGTACATGTTTTGTGACAAGCCCCAGGGAACTGTATCTCCCTTTCCATAACAATTGACCTCCAGGTTAGACAATAAGACCAAGGATACTTCATAGTGATATACTTTAGATCTGTATATAAATGTATATGTGTTAATAGGGAGGATATTTCAGCTGTTTCCACTTTACAATCCAGTATCTTATCATGTAGGGCGGGGCCAGACTCCTGAGCTAGACATTGTAGCATTATTATGTTTGTCTCTTTATACCCAGCAAGCACATTATATGGTATAATGCGGAAATCTCAACCGATTCCATGTTGTGGCCATGGGACTTAGTCACCAAGGACAGGGCTGGACACCTGACCCAATCATAGTGGCCTCTGTGCGTCATATATCTTCATGACAAACACTTTTACATATACTATATATATATATGGTTGGGTGGATCATACCCGTTTCCATAGTTATGACCAAGGGTTTAAGTTTTCTTGGAAGGGAAATAACCAAGATAACGTCATCTTAGCTCAAGGATGTTTCGAAGCTTATTTAGCAGAATAATTTAAAATATTTACCTCGTCTTATTCAGGATTGAATCTTGCTTTGGTCGATTTCATGGAGTGATGAATTGAGTTGGTCTTGAAACAAATTCAACATGAGCAAGTCATTTAATTTGTTACCAGACCAACTCAATTCATTACCCATGAAATCGACCAAAGCGAAATTCAATCCTTAATGGACTCGCTCGTCTTCTCAAAAGGAGCCACATCCTCCGTTTATACAAATTTAGTCAAAATCTGTCCTGCCGTTATGGAATAGTAGCGTTCTAAGTGGAAAGTTGACGAAAACGGACGACGGACGCCGTGACACGGCATAGGCTCACATTGCCCTTCGGGCCAGATTCATATTTAAGAGCTGGGAAGAAATCCGTAAAACACGACATTTTAAAATAGCGTGATTGCATTACACAAGCGGCCTTGTCAAAATGTGTAGCATGTATCACACGCGCTGCGAACGATAAAACTGGCAGCATTCCTTGCGTAAATACAATGTATGTTCATGTGTATACTGACAGACAGACTCACTCAGATGTTTACTGGGATATTTAAGAGTTTGAAATCCAACCCTGCCGTAAATAAATCTGCTATCGTATATCATTCTCTTTTTAT